GGGCCGAGTAACTGGAGGATTTGGGAATCACGCCGCTCTTCATACATTGTGTGTATGGACCACAAAGGAAAGAATAAGACTTGCAGACCTAGGAAAGCCTACTCAGTATCTAATATTTGTTGTTCCTGTGTGTCTAGCAAAGTACTTATAAGATGTGGTTTCTCTCCCCGATGGATTTGCAGTCTGCTAGGAAGAGGAGAAGAAAATACATGATCTCAGTGAACTAGATATAAAATGGTGCTAACGATCACATGACTCAGAACCAGCATGACCGTAAGACGTATGTAGAACCAGGAAATCAGGGGGAAGTTATTTTGACTTACGGAAGAATTCTCCAAAATGATGGTTCTGTCTAATTATTTAAGGCTGTTTGTTTAGTTTTCAAATATAAACATATAAAATTTATATAAAAATTTATATAAATTTCTTAGTTTTCAAATATAAAGTGATGAAACTACTGCCGTTTGAAAGACATGGGAAAAATAACATGAATCGTGTCTAAAATTGTAATGGAAATTAGTTAAAATTTATTTCATTTACAGAAGCTAGGATATTAGCTGCCCCTCACCTCCTGTTTTTGAGTACCCATCAGTGGCACAGAATGGGTACCACTGATGCCGCCGTCCGAATTATAAAAATAAGGGAGAAGCTCCTTTGCTCCTTTGATTTGTGTCAGAGCAGGTTACACAAGGTTTATTGTAATAGAACTCTGAAAACTCAGACTGAATTCAGCATTCTCTCCTTTTCTTCCTGCCCTCTGCTGGAAGCTTCCCTTGGAGCTAGAGCAGGAGACAAAGGAGGCTGGTGGCCTCAGCTTCATCCTATAACTTAAAGCACACTGACCACAGCAGAAAGGATGGAGTGGAGTGAGTTTGATTTGAATTGGAATTACAGCAAGACTTTATTAACAATTTTCTAAAGTTAAATGTTTTATTTAAAAAATAGGTACAGTTTATGTGAATTAATTCTAACGCATAGTCAGGATGCTGCAACCATTCCTTCAAGTTCCAGTGAACTTTTTGATATTGTTTTATTTCAAACTTTCCCCTAAATTATCCTGACTATACAAATTAGAGAATGGATTTTCATCCGCATATTAACATTATAAAAAATAATTCACATATGCCATGCGGAATAATTATAAAATAGAAATAATATAAAATCGCCTGTCACCTCTTTCTGGAATTAATTATGATTACTTTGTAATGTGTCTTTCAGATTTTAATATATGGATACACATTCATATTTTATTTAAAAGTCATCATATTTAATCCTGTTTTGCAATCTGCTTTTTTATTTAATATGCCCTGAACTTCTTTTTCTGTTAATAAGAGTCCATATATAAAATCATTTAGAAATGATTGTATACTCTTCAGCTGTGTAGCTCTCCTACATTTTACTCAGTCTATTTCTGGCCATTATAAATAACTTTACATAACTCTTTGCTCACTTATCAGATCACTTGTTAGCATAAATTTCTAGGCTAGGACTTCTTGGGGACATTTTTAAAGCTTTGAGCCCATAATGCTAAAGGATCCTCCAGAAGGATTATGGGTCCTACATACACACACACGTACACACACAGCCATGTCCCTAACCCCAGTGTCTGACCTTATCATTTTGGTTCATCTTTGTCAGTTTTTTTCTTTCCTTTTTCCTTCACCTGTCAATTCTGAGACCACTGCTGTACTGTTTGGGGTGTTAATTTCATATAATGTTTTACTGTCTGGCAGGGCACATCCACAGCCCCACCCCCAAATTGCTTAATTTTTTAAAAAAATTCTTGTTATTCTCACATATTTTCAAATGAATTCATAGCATTTTGGAAGCTCTAGAAAAAGTTCCTTTGGGATTTTCTTTGGGTTTGCATTAAAATCGTAGGTTAACTTCGTAAGACTTAAGTTCTTCAATGAGAATTTTGAGTCTTATCATCCAGGAACGTAATATATCTTTCCATTTATTTAGTTCTCCTTCTCTCTCCCTCGATAAAGTATTTTGTTTTTGCTGTGTAGCTAGTACGCACACATCTGTTTTTGCTCATTATTAACTTTGAGAGCTATGGACTTTCCCTTGTTTACAACTTTGATTGCATCCCCTAAAGTTTAGGTCTGTGCTCTTTGTATTTTCATTTTCCAAGTGCTCTGGTTGCAGTTCGATTTCCTCTTTTTATTTATTTATTTATTTATTTGGCTGTGTTGGGTCTTCGTTTCTGTGCGAGGGCTTTCTCCAGTTGCGGCGAGCGGGGGCCACTCTTCATCGCAGTGAGTGGGCCTCTCACTGTCACGGCCTCTCTTGTTGCGGAGCACAGGCTACAGACGCACAGGCTCAGTAGTGCTGGCTCACGGGCCTAGTTGCTCCACGGCATGTAGGATTCTTCCAGACCAGGGCTCGAACCCATGTCCCCTGCACTGGCAGGCAGACTCTCAACCACTGCGCCACCAGGGAAGCCCCGATTTCCTCTTTTACCCAAGGAGAGAGAGTATTTTTTTATTTCAGTTTTTTTCTGTTTTGCTCTTCTTATCCTTTGTTATTAATTTCTTGCTTAATTTTCTTGTCACCTGAGAATAAGGAGAATTATTTGTAAAGTTCTTCTCTGCTTTACGGAATGTCTTATTCATGTGTCAGGAGTGGGAGATTTTTTCTTATTCCCTAGACAAGTTTTATTGTTTTCAAATAGTGTATTTTTCCATATTGCTAGTTTTTCTTCTCGTTAGCTCATATTTACTAGAAGTGGCTGTGAAGTTGTCTGTAGATTTTGTGAGAATGTTTCCACATCTTTTACTCTGGACAGTTGTGGGAGAAGGAAGTTTTATGTTTTCATTTTTGCTGAATTGAACACAGTGTCTGTTGGGAAAACAGCTACCAAAGAATGTAATCATTGGTGCAGCAGGGAAGTGCTGGATTTTTGTTAAAGCTTGCTTTCTGTATTTATTAAGGTAACTTTCTACAGGCACTGCCCACCTCACATAACTGGCACAACTGCCCTCCTGTGCCAGCCTGCCTGCTTCTTTCTTCCAAGCTGTGTCTCCAAGCAACAGCAGGAGTGGCTATTCAGGTGTGACTCTGCCCATGCTGATCAAGGCCCCTGTGTCCCTGCCTGAGATTTTCCCTGTGACTCCCCTCACCTCCAGCCGCCACTGCACTGAGTGTCATTCTGCTAATATACTTGACCGAGGTGGGCTCTCTCTTGTAATGAGTTGGACCACAGCCTTCACTGGGATCTTCTTTCTATCATGTTTTACAGAATTTCTAATTTAAAATTGAGGGCATATTTAATTTTGCTCACCCAGGTACAGATTATTCCCCTTTTGATACTACGTTGGCCATTTCTAGGTGGGGATTGGTGAGGGAGGGGAATTTGATGCCACGGGGCATCTCCCCCTGGCCATCCAGCCAATCCTCCCTTCCAACAGGTGCTTGTGGAGCATTCCCGAGCCCCGCCCACTTCTTACAATCCCCTCCCCCTGACCCAGGCCACAGAGGGAAGACAGACATTGTGACCTTACCAATTCCTCATATTGAATACAGTTGTCCTTAGCTACCTGTCTTTAGTGAACTGTGATCTTATATGTGGCAGGAGTTGTATTCCCAGGCTTTCACCTCTGATCCCAAGTTTCAGAGCTGTCCCGTCACAAAACTCTGCACACACTCCATGGTCACCTTGGCTCTGTTCTCTGCATCACGGCCAAGGGAGAGGCTGAATCACAGGTGGAGGCCGTACCTAAGTGTCACTAGCTGGAGGCAGGGAGGCTTGGTGGTGGTGATTTCTTGGAACCTGGGCGGGGGGAGGATGAGATGGGTTAGAAAGTTGCTGAGCATACGTAGAGGAGCTCTGTCCTGTGTTTATCCGTTGGGAACACCTGTGCTCAGTAGAAGCCCTGTCTCCAGTCTCCCCTGTGGATGTTGTGAGGCCACCTTGCTCTTGCATGGATGATAGAGAACTTTATACATTTCTGGCATTTTCACTTGACTAAACTCGGCTTATTAGTGACGGTGGACACTTATTTAATTTTAGGGTTTTTTTTTTTTCTTTCCTTTTTTCTGCCGCTTCTGGCTCTAGGAGCCTAACCATTGAGAAAGACATGTAAGAAATATAAATACTGTGAATTTACTCTCCAGTATTCCCTATTTTTTCCCCTATTTTGGGGGTGGGATATACTAAGGTAAACTGAAATTGACGCTTATGATAGGAATTTTTAAAATTCTGTTATGGAATCTCTCATCAGCAATTGCTTTTAAAAGGTTAACTGTATATTTCAGGATTACATGTCTAAAGTTATATAGTGTAAGTTACACATCGCATAAATTATACCTTGTATATATTAAATGACATAGTGTATAAAGATCTTTTTTTACAGGATTTAAATTGGATATATCAAGAAAAATTTTTTTATTGTATCCTTAATAATGCATGAATTCTAGAGCTACATATTTATGTAGAAGGTTTGATTAAAGTAAGGACCCTAGCTACTCTGAAGTTTTTATAGAAGTTTAATCCTAAAGCAAATTTCTCTTATGTTATGACATGAATTGCTGCTCAAAAGTCATTGTTAAATTATTTTTCTAGAGTTAAGTGAAAGACCCCTTCTAATCATTGCAGTTTAATCTGTGGCTAATATTTTATTTTCAGGGAAAACATTATCAGATTTTGATTTCCCAATTTACTAAATAAATTAATTCATGGTCAACTATTTGAAGAACTTTCTGTGATAAAAATCTTTCGACTAGCGTGCATCATTTTCCCTGAATTTTGGTGTTTTGGTGCCATCTTGTGGCTGGACTGTGTAGTAACCTCAACACAAACACATTTCAAACAGCGTCCTCAATAGGGTAATAGACTGGGAATGCTTCCCCAAATGCAAATCATGTACCACTAGAAACCTACATTTAAAAGGCTGAGAATAGTTTGTTACTCGGTGAATGGACAAGCAAAAATAATAAGGAATTTGATATGTGATTCTCGGTTTCTAAAATTCTGTTTTCATGATATTTGCCCCTAGTTGCTGCTGTTTGAACGGTCTTGGATGAGCAGATGGAAGTCTTCAGTTCTGCACGAAGGAGAAGGGAACATACGGAGTGTGAAGTGGAGGGGCCATCTGATTGCCTGGGCCAATAATATGGTACAAGCCGTGTCCCTAACGCTGGTTCAGAGCTAGAAGGACAGCTGGACCGAGAGGCCTGCGACAAAGGGCAGGGATGCCGCTCCTGCCACCGCCATCTCTCTGGGTTTTTTTATATCCCCGTATCTCCTCCCTCTTTTTTTTTTTAAACATCTTTATTGGAGCATAATCTCTTTACAGTGGTGTGTTAGTTTCTGCTGTATAACAAAGTGAATCACTATATACATATACATATATCCCCATATCTCCTCCCTCTTGCGTCTCCCTCCCTCCCTCCCTATCCCACCCCTCTAGGTGGTCACAAAGCACCGAGCTGATCTCCCTGTGCTATGCGGCTGCTTCCCACTAGCTATCTGTTTTACCTTTGGTAGTGTATATACATCCATGCCACTCCCTCACTTCGTCCCAGCTTACCCTTCCCCCTCCCCGTGTCCTCAAGTGCATTCTCTACGTCTGTGTCTTCACTCCTGTCCTGCCCCTATGTTCTTCAGAACCTTTTTGTTTTTTTAGATTCCATATATGTGTGTTGGCATACGGTATTTGTCTTTCTCTTTCTGACTTACGTCACTCTGTATGGCAGTCTCTAGGTCCATCCACGTCACTACAAATAATTTAATTTCGTTTCTTTTTATGGCTGAGTAATATTCCATTGTATGTATGTGCCACATCTTCTTTATCGGTTCATCTGTCGAGGGACACTTAGGTTGCTTCCATGTCCTGCCACTGACATTTCTAAAAGGTACATGTAGCGATTGATATCATACCTGGAGGGTAAAGAAATTACATTGCTTTTGGTGTTCATGAGAGAGTAATTTCCAACATATTCTGGGCTCTATTTTAGAGGAAGAAACCCGAGGCATGGAGAATAGCCAAGAAAATGAAGAGGCATCTTAATAAGGAAAGGGCTGCATTGGAAATGTGGTCTTGAAAATACCATTTGCCTATTAGCCAAGGGCAAGTGCCAGTTGCTATGAAACAAGGGCAGGATATTGCTGCTTTTTCTTTTACTCTCAGTATAATCACAGACCCCAAATAGGCCTGCCTTTGAAAAAGGGGATCCTAATTTTTGGTATTTCACTTATCTCAAGCTTACTCAATATGAGTAGGGCGAGTAGAAAGTTTAAAAATTACCTTTTGGACATTGGCATAGCTTTTGGAATTTTGAGGTATAACTTAGCAAATCAGTGCTATTCCTCTTTCTTTTTGGCCTCACCGCATGGCATGCGGGATCCCAGTTCCCCAACCAGGGATCGAACCCATGCCCTCCGTGCTGGAAGTGCAGAGTCCTAACCACTGGACCGCTGGGGAAGTCCCCTGCTATTCCATTTTGAATGGTAGAAACCTCCCAGAATCTACCGTGCCAGTCAGGACTTTTCTTACTTCTCCTGGGTCACAGTCAAGGTCAACAGACGTGTGGCCTCTTGGTTTATTTTCATTTAGCTGCTTGCTTGATGTTTCCATTTGAGTACTTTAAAATGTCAGGCGTGTTTTTCTTTATATAGTGGTTTTGCAGATTCAAAGCTTTTCGGAAAAGCAAACCCCGTATTTGTGGTGGAACAATACAATTAGAGACGTGACTTTCTGTCTTTTTGGAAATGCAGTTGTTGATATCTGTACATTTCCCACTTGTGTTGGATTTGAGTGGCCTGTGCCATCCTCTCATAAAATCTAGTTTGCCTAGAAAGAAGGACAGAGGTTTTCTTTTGTTTTGGGTTTTCACAGGATTCTTGTGGAGTAGGAACGTTTCTGTGGCTCCCGGCAGCACCTAAAAAACACTGTCGATACTTTGCTGTGCTGGTTATCCCTGATGGTTAGCAGTGGCCATTAATAAATTTTCTTTTACCTTCCATCTCCCAAGGAGAGGATGCTTAATGCTCTTTTATTTTCCAGGGTGTGAAGATTTTTGACATCACCTCAAAGCAAAGGATCACCAATGTGCCCCGGGATGATATAAGCCTTCGCCCCGATATGTATCCCTGTAGCCTCTGCTGGAAGGACAGTGTGACACTGATCATTGGCTGGGGCCCCTCTGTCAAGGTAGTTTTGCTTGTCTTTCTCATACGTCTGTGTTGTTACAGACAGAGCTACCGAAGGTGGTCCACAGGAGTCCGAGTCCTGGAATGGCTCCTCAGAGCCAGAATATTTTCACCTGCATATTATTGTCATGTGATAATCATTTCATGCTTGAATTCTTCCATATGCATAGATTTTCAGATCTATCCTTTCTCCTGAACTTCTCCATGTTCAGAATGGTGCTGCCTTTTTGATCCTTTTTAAATTTCCCATAACCCGATTGGCCTTAGCTCTATGTAAAGTATGTGATAGGTGTTGTTGGCTCACTTGGGTCCCTTTCTTTATTGTTCTTTTCATTTCCCATAGCTTTGATTCTGAGCTTTTTCACTAGGAAAAAGAAGGTTGAGGTGAAATCGTCCTGCTTGCTCCCTAGTAGTTTGGTGGAGTAAAGGCCCAGGCTTATTATGGATGATAAGATTTGGGGCTATTTTGTCATGTATATCATCTGCCTATTATGTGCCTGGGTAAATGAAGCTATTCTGCAAAAGGAGGCCCCAAATCCATTCACCTTTATTTCATGCCTAGTTGTTTTTCTCGTATTAGATGTTTCAGAGCCAAAAGTTGTTTTCTTCCCTTTAAAAATATATACCTTAATCTAAACAACGTAAACTAAAACTTAGCTGAGTTAAAGACGCTGTGAGAAAGTATCCCAGCCATAGTCTAATGGAAGAGCTCGGCTCTAAAGAGTCACACAGACCTGGGATCCATTCCAACTTTTCCACTTCTTGCGTGACCCTCTCTGAGTCTTACTCTCCTAATCTGTAAAATGGGAGTGTTAATTGTTCTCACATCACATGTTTCGGAGAGGATTAAATGAAGAGCTTAGCATAGGATCTGGCATATTGTACTTAATAAATATCAGCTGTCATTGTTATGCCAGAAAATTCCAGAAAAGTCATGAAAGAGACGTGGCTATTTAAAATTCTTCAGCGCAAAGAAAAGCATAAAAATTATTAATGTTATCACCAAAATAAATGTTGTTTATCTGAGGTAAAGTCTCCTTGATATGATTCAGGTTCTCTTTCTTTCTTAATTGAACACGCGGTCATTGTTTCCATGTGTTAAATGAACACAACATGATTCACATTTAAGGTAACAGGAAGGAGGTTGTACCCCCAAAGTCTATGATAAAAAAGTGATTCCCAGTCTCCCTATCCCATGCGTGTGGTTACTGGTCCAATAAAGTAATGTTCTTGATATTTTTTAAGTTTCTTAGATGGACCAAGTGGCTTTTTCCTCTGTTGTGATTTGCTTTTCTTTCGGTGAAGGACAAGGGAAATTAGTCTATTGGGACATGTGAAAAGTTTGCTGATTGTTACCAGAAATGCTTCCTCTATTAGGCTGAATAATGGTCCCCAAAGACAGCAGGTCCTAATTCCCACCAGCTATAAATGTTTCTTTATGCGGCAAGAGAGTCGGGCAAAACATGTGACTAATGAAGCATCTTGAGATTACCCTGCATTATCTGGGTGGGCCCTCTAAGAGGGAGTGCTACCCCAGAAGAGAAGAAGGCAGTGTGACCATGGATGCAGGGATTGGAGTGAGGCAGCCAAGGAATGCTGGAAGCCACCAGAAGCTAGACGAGGCGAGGAACAGATTCTTCCCTAGAGCCTCTGGAGGGAGCGTGGCCCTGCCGACACCTTGCACTTAAATCTTAGGGTTAGGACCCCATGCTGCTGCTGGGGAGGGGTGTGAGCCGAGGAAGCAGGAGGGGCAGATCCTTGAGACTGGAGTGTGATTGATGAGTCTCTGTGGTACGTAAAGGAAGGCATTATTGCCGGAGTGGATGGAGCAGGTGTGGAGAAGACGGATAGAAGATGACGGAAGGGATAGGGACAGAGGGAGGGAGGGGTGCGTGTTGTGATGGAAGATCGCGTAAGGGCTCTCTGGGACAGAGCTCAGACCATAGCACCTAGGGGATAGAATAGGCCATGGCCCAGCTGCCAGTGGTGTCATGTGTCCTTGTCTTCAGAGAGGCTGTAGGATGGCCAGAGACACCAGCAGGCTTTGATGTGTGAGTCCCAGCTCCAGCCTTGAGGTCCTGGGCAGCTCTCAGAGCCTCTGACATTAGGACTGGTAGTATCACCTTCCAGGGGCATCTGAGGATTGGAAGAGGCCTGGGCAGTCCTCAAGTTCTGTCACTCTCTCTCAGATCTCTCCACTTCTCTCCATCCCCCTGTCGGGTCCCCTGACTCTAGTTTTGCCCCCCTTAATTCCGCCCTAAACAGTGCAGCCAGGATGATCTTTTCAGAGTGCAGATCACGTGATGTCAGTCTCCTGGTTAAACCCCTCCAGGATGCTCATTGCTCATAGGGTGACATCTTCCTCTTTCATGATGATCTGCCCCCTGTATTCCTGTCTAGCCCCTCCTTCCCCTATCCTCTCTGCTTCTGTCTGATTACCTTCCAGTTGAGGGCCCCAAGCTATCAAGTTGCCCTTTATCTGTATCTCCTGCTTCATCTTACATGGCGCTTCTTCCAGGAAGTCTTCCATCCCTGCTAGTAGATGCCCCCTGCTCTGTATTTCTGTACTTCTCCATCACACTTAAGTAAATGCCTTACTTAGTTGTTTGTCTCCCCCACTGCACCATAATCTTCCTAAGAACAGAGCCCTATCTGCTTTACAAAGCCCTCAGCTCAGGACAGGTGCCCAGTAGTTGCTAAAAAGTGCTAATTAATATTTCTATTTCATATATATATATATATATATATATATTATTGTTACACTTCAAACCACATGGAACACTGCTCCTTGTGTACTTTTATCAACACATTAAATAAAGCAGTTGTTCAGATGGCATGTGGAGCGTGCCTATTAGACAATTTAGTAGTTTCCCTAGTAGGTGTGGATAGAAGAGTGAATAACTTATACGAAGAGAAGGAAAACTGGGGGAGCAGACAGGAAATTGTCTGAGATGGACAGGAAACAAATGACAGAAACCAATCAAAGGAGAAGATAGCCTGTCACTTCTCAGTAAATGCCTGTACCTCCACAGCACTGGATTCAAGTCCCGTGGCAGAGAAAGAGAGTACTGTGGCCCTCTGTGTCTGTGGGTTCTGCATCAGTGGATTCGACCAACCTTGGATTGAAAATATTTGGGGGGAAAAAATCCAGAAAGTTCCAAAAAGCAAAACTTTAATTTGCTGGAAACCAGTAACTATTTATTAACATTTACATTGTATTAGGTATTTTAAGTAATCTAGAAATGATTGAATGCATATAGGAGGATGTTCGTAGGTTATATGCAAATACTATGCCATTTCCTGTAATGGACTTGAGCATCTTCAGATTTTGGTATCCTCCAGGGTCCTGCAGATACCAAGGGATAACTGTACTGTCATGTAGTTGCCGTGTTCCTGGACAGTGATTTGGACATGGATATTAGCCAAACCAAACCTTAAAAAAATGTACATTGATCTATCAATTCTACTTCTAGGAATTTATCCTAAGGAAACAAAAGTCCAACAGTTTTATACACGAGTATGTTGATTGCACTATTGCTTACATCAGAGATAGATAGAAGAAAAAACTAATGTCTAAAATAGGATTGAGCAAGTAAATTACAGTATATTCATGTAATGAAATACTATAAAGACATTAAAGAATTATGTAAGGATATTTAAATAATACATTAAATTATTTGTAGTGATTTTAGGTTGAGAAGAGTAGCTTCCCCGAAAGTGTGGATTGCTAATAGTGTTCACTTTGTTCTGGGACAACAGATAATAATTTGTTTTTTTCCCTTTGGGTTTTCTGTATTTTAGAATTTTTCATATGGTAGCTATACTTAGGGTTGCAGCTATAAATTAACACAATAAATACTGCCTAAAAGAAAAAGGAAGACAACCTAGTCCCTGGTGAAATTTGTATAAGATCAGTACTTGAGGTTCAGCCTTTTTTTTTTTTTATTGAGGTCTAGTTGCTTTACAATGTTGTGTTAATTTCTGGTGTACAGCAAGTGATTCAGTTATACATATATATACATATATATATTCTTTTCCATTATGATTTATTTCATAAAGTTATTGAATTTAGTTCCCTGTGCTATACAATAGGACCTTGTTGTTTATTCATTCTATATATAATAGGATGCATCTACTAATCCCAAACTACCAATCCTTCCCTCCCTCAGCCCCCTTCCCCTTGGCAACCACAAGTATGATAATCTCTGAGTCCATCCATGTTGCTGCAAATGGCATTATTTTGTTCTTTTTATGGCTGAGTAATATTCCATTGTATATATGTACCACATCATCTTTATCCATTCATCTGTTGATGGACATTTGAGGCTCAGTTTTAACCTGGATGGCTGAACTTAACGTGAATAACGTGAATTTTTCTCATTTCTTATTACAAAATAGAATACATTTCCGTTAGAAAATATAGCAAAGAAAATGTAAAGTATCTCTAGTCTTACCACCCTAAAACATCCACTGTTAACACACATATGTATTAAGGGTTGTGTGTGAGATATATACAAAAATAAATATATAAAATCTCTATCCAAACTGTATACATATAATTTAAAATAGGGGTTGGCAAACTTTTCTGTAAAGGGCTGGTAGTAAATATTTTAAACTTTGCATGCTACGTACTGTTTCTGCTGAGTATTTTTCCTTTTGTTTCTGTATTTCCTCCTCTCTCTTCCTCCCTCCCTCCTTTTCATTTTTTCAAGGCTTCAAAAATATAAAAACTATTTTTAGCTTCCAGGCCATAAAAAGAACAGACCAGGGGCCGGGCTGTTGTTTGCCACCCCGATTTAAATTATATAATACATTGATTTTTTTTTTTTTTTTTCCTTTGCGGTATGCGGGCCTCTCACTGCTGTGGCCTCTCCCGTTGTGGAGCACAGGCTCCGGATGCACAGGCCCGGCGGCCATGGCTGACGCGACCAGCCGCTCCGCGGCATGTGGAATCTTCCCGGACCGGGGCATGAACCCACGTCCCCTGCATCGGCAGGCAGACTCCCAACCACTGCGCCACCAGGGAAGCCCCAATACATTGATTTTAATATGCTCAAGAGAAGAAGAAGAGCATGTGACACTTTTGCAAAGTATTATTTAGCAACAGTGAAATGTTACTAATATGTGATCAGAAACACAAGACCTACTGTGGGTGTTGCCCAGATTAGCCACTGGGCATTTTGGCTCTGCCTCTGTCAGAGATAGAAGGAATCTGTGAGTAGAGTTGCAGAGAATGGGTCATTGAAACCATATTAAAACTCTTATTAGTTTCCTTCCTTTCTTTGTCCTCGAATAAAACTTTATTGAAGAATAGTGTCAGAGAATATAAGTAATGGTTGCTATATGTCGTTGAAGTTCATTTCTATCACTTAAGTCACAGGGTAGGTTGTGTGCATTCCATCTTCAGTGCTACACAGCTAATTTAGCAAAAGTACCGTATAGTGAATGACATGTGATGAAGAGTTTTCTCTCAGGTGAATAAAATAACCCGTGAATTTCTTTTCTAGATATGCTCGGTGAAGGAACGGCATGCCAGTGAAATGAGGGACTTGCCGAGCCGATACGTTGAAATAGGTATGCCTTCTGTGGTGTAAACCTTCAGAAGAGAATCCGTGTTATGAAGGGGAGTCCTAAGGCTGTGTTCTTCAGGGCTCATCATTGGTACCTTGATGAAATCGATCAAGAGACTTCTGAGTTTTGCAGTTTGGCTGTAGAGACCCTTTATTCTAACTCTGTTTCTAATTTTTACACAATAACATTGTAGTTGGCTTTGAAGTTGAATAACCATGAGCTTGGGTTCTGGTTCTGTTATTTACCGCCTGGACTTTGGAGAAAGTTCTGTGTGCCTCAGTCATTTTCATCTATAAAATACAGAAAAGAATACCTGTCTCACACGTTGTTCGTCAGAAGTCCAAGCATGCGTGCACAGCTCATAATACAGTACTCACACTTGGTATTGTCAACGTGTGCCTTCTAAATATTTATTTCCCTCATCACTGGTCTGGTCCAAACTGCCATAGTCTTATCTGGATAGTGATCCAGCAGCCTCCTAACTGGTTCATCTCTTTCCACTGTGAATTACTGTACTCTAGTTCCCCGCACTGCAGTCAAAATACAAATAAGTTGGTGTCACCACCCTTCAGTCCCTTCCCATTGTTCTTAGGATAAAGATGAGACTCCTTAACTTGACCGTGGGGATCTGCGTTGGCCCTCACCTGCCTTTCTAGCTTCAGCTCATAACAAGCGTCTCCTTGGTCTCTGTGCTCCAGTCACACTGGCTTTCTTCCATCTGCCCGTGCTGCTGCTTCCCATCTCTCTAGAATGCTCTTCTTGCCTCTTTTTACTTCATGGACCCCTTATCATCTTCAGTCATGCCTCAGCTCAAGTGCTGCTTTTGTGGGAAGGCCCACTGGTCCTCCCTAAGCAGGTCAAATCCCCCCATGATAGGCACGTAGCATTTCCCTTTCTAGCCCTTGTTTGAGTTGCAGTGATCGTGTGATTATTCAGTGCATTTCTGTCTCTTCTACCAGACTATAACCTCCTTGTTTTTGCTCAGTGTTTGTATCTCAGGGACCTGGCACCATACCTGGCACATAGTAGGTGCTAAATAATACTGGGTTGAATGAATCAGTGACTCTGGAAACAACTATTCAGGAAAAGTATGCCAAGGAGGCTATGCCACTACTTTTATAACTTAGTTTCAGGACCTAGTGCCAAAGTTACTCAAACAAAGGGTGAGAATTGACTGACTTTTGTCAGTTAAACAGAGTAAAAGCTCTTTTTGTATTATTTAGAGCCGAGTAATAGACAGTTTTGTGGCAGAGAAGGTGTGCCGTGTTATATGTCAGCTGAAAAGTTTATTTACCCATTTGGATGGTGGATGGGGAATATACATTTGATGGGTTGTTACAACAGGATGAAGCTGAGATAAATCACTTGCACATGACTGTACTTTTTTTTTTAATTAATCTTTATTTATTTATGGCTGCATTGGGTCTCCATTTCTGCACGCGGGCTTTTTCTAGTTACGGCGAGCGGGGGCTACTCTTCATTGTGGTGCGCAGGCTTCTCATTGCGGTGGCTTCTCTTATTGCGGAGCACAGGCTCTAGGCGTGTGGGCTTAAGTAGTTGTGGTACGTGGACTCAGTAGTTGTGGCACACGGGCTTAGTTGCTCTGCAGCACGTGGGATCTTCCTGGATCAGGGCTCGAACCCATGTCCCCTGCATTGGCAGGCGGATTCTTAACCACTGCGCCACCAGGGAAGTCCCATGGCTACTTTCATAAACAGAGAAAGATGTACCCACCAGGCAAATATGGTTGTAGCATTTAAATCTGGGATATTTTATACTTGAAGTCGGAAGTTGGTGGTAGGGTTTTAATAGTTTTGCTGTTCTTTTGTTTGTTTTACCTTAGAAGGGTAAATACATAAATTCATAGTTCGGATTTCTCAGGGTCTGGATGAAATAGGTAAATACAGAATATAATGATACTGAGGAACTAGACAAGACTGAGAACTAGAAGATAATTATTTCAGTATCTCTATTTTCTGCCCCTCCCCTGCCTACCAGAATAAAACCTGAACATCTCAATGCATAGTGTCCTGAGAGATAAGTATTAGAATATTTTAAATACAGATGAGTTTAAAAAAAAAAAAAAAGGCAAGAACTCCGGGAACTTTAGGGTGTAAAAATTGCCAGGAAGGCATAAAAATGCAGCAGTGTCATCTTCTCGCCTTAGTCGGTGTTTATTGCTTGCATACTAGGTATGGGCCATTGTGCTATGTGTATTACCTGCTTTAGTTCACTGTCACAGCAGCCCTTTGAAGGGCAAGTAGTAGGCTTCTTATTCTATAGATGAAGAAAACTGAGGCTCAAGGTGGTAAACAACCTGTCCAAGGTCTTACTGCTGTGGCATTAAAATGGATAGAATCTAACCCTGCAGAACAACCAGGCAGGGAGGCCAGGCAGTTTGGCAAATTCCTGTCTGATCTTGATAAGGTTGCTTTACCTCCCTAAGCCAGACTTTCCTCACCTATAAAATGGAGGTGAGGGACTTCCCTGGCCATCCAGTGGTTCAGACTCCGTGCTTCCATTGCAGGGGGTGTGGGTTCGATCCTGGGTCGGGGAACTAAGTTCCCACATGCCGTGCAGTGTGGCCAAAAAAATTTTTTTTTTTTTTTTTTTTTTTTTGCGGTACGCGGGCCTCTCACTGTTGTGGCCTCTCCCGTTGCGGAGCACAGGCTCTGGACGTGCAGGCTCAGCGGCCATGGCTCACGGGCCCAGCCGCTCCGCGGCATGTGGGATCTTCCCGGACCGGGGCACGAACCCGTGTCCCCTGCATCGGCAGGCGGACTCTCAACCACTGCGCCACCAGGGAAGCCCCCCCAGAATTTTTTTAATAAAAAATTTAAAAAGTAAAATGGAGATAAGACCTACTGTCTCAGATAGTTGGGAGAATTAGACATGATTCTAAGGTCTGTAACACTGTCCTTGGCACACAGTAGGTGTTCACTGAATCACGGTGGTTATTATCACCGTGCAGACTTCCATCTCAGCTCCATGACTGCTAACAGCCGGCCCAGTGGTGGCCCTAGAGCCCTGGGATCACATTATTAAAGTGTGTTTTGTCTGTACTACAATTTCCATGAAATAGACCGTGTGTGAGTACTAACAGTATCACATTAGGGACATTTTACTACTATGGTTAATGCTTAAGTACCATTTTTTCCCCTCTTGAGAGCAAAGCTTTAAGAATATAAACCATTTCCACAGCAGGAGGCAAAGTGGTTTAGATAAGAGTCCTTGACTAGAATAAAGGAAAAGAGAAATGTTAGGAGGTCTGGATTACAATTTGCTTTATGACAGTGTAAGCCACTGTTCTTTAGTAAATGAGGTGAAAATGACATTGAGATGAAAGAAATATCTGTGGCTGTGTATTACATTTCTTAGAAGCCAGATATTTATAACTCTTCCTTATAAGTCCGAATCTCAAAAACAATGCAAAAATTATTCCTCTCAATAAGATATTCTTGTAAATGAAAGCTAATAATGATAATAAAGATGAAGCTTACTGGCCAATCTCTAATCCGTGAAGACATAAGGTTACATAAGGTTTGGGGGATGTCATTTCTTCTTCCAAATTACAGTTTTAAAAGTAGGTTGTGGTCCATGCCTGCTGTACTTATTTAACTTAACTTGGGTCTCTTACTGTCACGGGACTCCCTAACTCTCTGGCGCTTTTTACCAAAGTCGTCCATGTTCTTAATGGAATGGTAGTTGGGAGCTGATACTATGTTGTTGGGAAATGAAGCCAATACTGGTGTGTCATTTTGGGGGCATCTACTGCCAAGGGCAGATAACTTACATGCGAGGAATTTATGATTGACTCCCTAGTCTTGATTTCATATGGAAGTCTATTTCAAAAAAAATAATAATCAAGAGAAAAGCTACATGGGAATCTACATAAAATGACAGAGAGAAGCCAGGAAGAAAGAGAAGGAGAAGAAAATAAGGGACACCTTTTTCACTTTAATGAAGCGGAGTCCGTATTGTTACTTTATTATATGCTGTGGCTCTATTTAGTACATTGTTCTATTTTCAGCCTCTTGATTGACTTGGAAATTGAAGGCCTTTTTGCGTGGTGGAAGAGAGCTGTGAAATTAATGCCTTTCTTAGATCTAAGTATCTCTATCCACCTGTTAGCATTCTGACCCAGACACACAGGTTCCGGCAGTGGGACAGTTCTCCCGTGCATGTGAGTGACGAGGCTCACCTCCGTGTCTTAAGTCTCAGTAGAAATCAGGACAGTTCAAGGTGTCCTTAAGGATCTAGCTCTGTATGGTTTTCTGTTCTGTTAGAATTCAGTTTGATTCTCTCTAATCTATTAATTCTTCTGTTCTGCATTGAATTTTTTCCCCAACATTTTTTTATGAAAATTATTAAGCATACCAAAAAACTAAAGAGTTTTCCTGGATCTATTTACTCACCTCCTTGATTCCACAGTTAAGATTTTATTATACTTGTTTTATTACGCATCTGGTCCTCTATCCATTTGTCACTCAGTGCTGGAGACTCAAATACTTGTTGGAAGTGGAGTTAATAAATTTTCTCTACCATAAATAGCGGTAAGAAATCGGAAGCCCCTGAAGTAAGAAGTATATCTTGTTCATTTTATAACAACTACCACCAGCCACATGCTTAAATACATTACAAACAGAATTTTGTTTAATCTTCACAATGGTCCCAGTGGGTAGGGCTGCTATCCCATTTTATAGGTGAATAAGCTGAGGTTTAGAGGGACCAAGTAACCTGCTCCAGATGCGGACATTCGGAAGCAAAGAAGGCAGCATTTGAACACAGGTAAGCCTAGTCTCAAAGCTGTTTCTCCTCACTGCTGTGCCATGCATTCGTGTATGCGTGCCCTCCGCCTAGCCCCAAGCCCTCACGTGCAGCCAAAGTAACTGATGAGAAGAAAAGCAGCTTGCTGTAGGCACTCAGATACCAACCATGGGGCAGAAATTCTCCAAAGACCCTTTAAATATGCAGTGAGGATGTCTGCTCCCCTGTTCTACAAA